CCTTCCCAGTGCCCCTCCCCACGGAGCTTGGTCCACTTTCCAGTCTGTCTTCCCGAGAGTCTGATGCTGCCTCTTTTGGGATCAGGCTGGGACTCCTGTCTCCTCAGTGCCCCTTGCGGGGTCCCGGTAGAGCCTGCTCTGACCAGGCTAGAGCACGTTGGGCAGGGAGGCCTCCTGCCTGTGCTGGCTCAGCCTCTGCACTGAAGACAGCCAAGCCTGGGGTCACCGCAGGAATAGCACTCCTAGTCACCATCCTTGTGACGGGCGGCATTTCTGGAGATGCACAGTGATCACTTTACAGTGTCCTGCTGAGTCCTGCGCGATCATCCTGGGAAGTGCATGGTCGTATTATCTGACTTTTCGGGTGGGGGAATGGGAACCTGCCAGGGGTTTCACAGCCAGAGCTGTACTCGGGCCCTTCTGAGTTGGGAGGCTCCGAGTGCCTGAAGTCCCCACGCTGGGTCCAGGCGAAGCCCCGGGGGTCCCCAGGAAAGGGTGAGCTCTGGTCTGAAATGGTGCAGGAAAGAGTGCTGGGGAGGGGAGTGCGCTGGGTAGACTGTCCGGAAACGGGAAATGACCCTCCCAGGCCCGAGGAGAGCCCAGCCCTCCAGGGACCCGCGAGGGACTCGACCTTCCGGGCCAGACTTGGAAACCGTGCAAGACAGAGGTGCGCTGGCCATCGGGTGAGGCCAAGAGCGAGAGGGAATTGGAGGAGGAGGAGGAGGCAAAACGTGGGGACATGGCATGGGGCAGCCGTCCCCGCTGCACCTCACCCTCGGCTCTGAGTGATGTCACCGTGAGAGGCCGGGCTGTTGTACGGGATACCGGAGGGCAGTGGGTGGCCGTCAGAGTCCCACGATCCCCGAGACCAGCTCTGCGCCCACCGCCTGGGGTTGTGGCTGGACTCCGAGAGCACAGGCGACCCACCGGGCACCCAGCCTGCCTCCTCCCCTGGCCGCTGTCAGGGAGTAGTGATTTTCCATCACTGCTGCCTCAGCTAAGTCTGCACCAGTGCCCTGGGGTCAGAGGCCCTGGGTAACAAAGACAGCACCTCCTCGAACCATCCGGTGATGTCTCACCCGACTCCAGCCCTGGGAGTCCGTCATGCCAGGGCCACCCACAGGCCCAGCACACCCCCAGCAGCTCTGGCTGCCGTGAGTTGGGAGTGTCTGCTCTGGGCGGCTCAGCATCTGTCCAGACTCTTCTTGTAGATGAGTCTACACCGCTCTCAGCCACTGTCCAATCTTCTCTGTCGTGGTCGTGCTCCAAGCCTTCCCCCAAGCTCCTGGGAGGTGACCTTCCCTTCCGCTGTGCTGAGAGATTAAAGCCGAAAAATCTCCTTTCCCCGCGTTCAGCCCCCTGAAGACCCGCCGTCCTGGCCCACCCCTCCTGCTCCTGTCTGGCTCTCTTGGTTACCGCAGCCTCTCAGCCAACTCACCAGCTCTACCCCGTCTACCCGCAGGCATACCAGATCTCTCTCACCCAGGATTCGTCCCCTGCCCACCTGCCCGGGCTGTCCTACCGCGTCTACACCACCTTCCCTTCCTTCTTGGCAAGCTTCCAAGGCAGTCGCTGCTCTGACCTTCACCTCTTTCTCCCCGGTCCGGCCTCACCTCGTGCTACCAGCCCCGGCCCCAGTCGCTTCATTGAGATGGCTCCCCCAAGGCCACCAAGGGCCACCAAAAGCCCACATCTGTCTCTCTTCTTCTTCCCCAGCCCTTTCGGTCTTTGTGCTGCTGCTGGCAATGCCGGTTGTTTTTTGTGGAGACTTTCTTCTCCGTGGACTTGGGGGGCCGCCCTATCCCGGTTCTGCTGGTTCCCGTGTGCCCAGTCTTCCAGGTTCTTCCCCATCCCGGGCAGGAAGTGTCTTCAGAAGCCACTCCCCGGGCCCCTCATGCCGCCCCCGACTCCATTCTCGGGCAGTCTCCTGGGCGTGTGCACCGTGGCGCTCCTGCCTGTCTGGGACCTGCCCGTTTCCCTCCAAGCCAGCCACCCGCCTGCATGCCCACCCTGGACACCGAGAGGTCAGGCTTCCAGACACACAAAACTGGGACGTTAGCGTCCCAGCTGGCTCTGGTGAGTTGCCCGGCCCCAGCCATGCTGCCCACAGAGGGTCCTGCAAATTTCCCTCCTCTCCTTTCCACGGCCAGCCCCGCGGTGCCTCCCGCCCGTCCGAGGGGATCGGTTTGCACATCTCCCTCCAGTGTAGACATCGTCACGGCTTGAGACCCTCTGAACCTGGTTCCTCCATGTTGGGGGAAGGATGACAAAGTGACCCACAGACCTGGACACTGGATTCTGACTGCGCCCTCACTGCTGTGACACTTGGAACAGCCACTTGCCGTGTCAGCTCTGGTTTTCAATCTGCAAAACGAGACTGGTCCGATCTACTCTGGAGGCGGTTGTGAGAAGTGACGGCGGTGTCTACGAGTAACGCGAAGTGTGTATAACCTCAGCACATCGGAGGTGTTCAACGAGTGGAAAGCAGCGATGATTTCCCTCGCATCCAAGTTATCGGCCTTCCTTTCTCTTCCTCCCTTATCTGCCTCCACCGCTCCTGGCTGCTTGGCCCAGATCTTGACCCTGGGACCTCGTGCCCAGTGGTTTCGTGCTGTGTTCCCACCTGCTGTAGCGCCCTTCCCTACGCATCTTTGTTCATATTAGGATCGTGTTATTATTATCTATTATTATTTTTAGAGACAGAGTCACCCAGCCTGGAGTGTAGTGTGTGATCATAGCTTACTGCAGCCCCTCGCGCCGGGGCTCTAG